GACTCTTATTTTTGGTTTTAGCTTAAAATAGGCTTTTTTGGGGGTAGAATATTAAAATACTTTGCTTATTTTTTACAGGTTTCTTTATCATCAGATGTAAGTCAGTTTAGTAAAATAAGTTCTCTTTACATTTACTTAAAGAGAATTTTACAATTTTGACCCTGCAGGGCTGTTTTTCTTAATGGTTATGGATCATCCTTCTGCCTTTTTCAAAATACTGTCATTATCTGTAAAATTTATGTACAGCCAGATAACTCATTGGATAAACCCACAGGTAATAGCACATTTGTAGAGAACTTCAGACCAAACAAGCAACCCCATATGTGGCACAGTTTTTGTTTAGTCCTTTCGGCTTTAAAGTTCATTCAGTCAAACATCATTTGGGTTAAAGAACAACAAATTAATGATAAAGACGGGTCGTCACTTATCACCTGCTGTTTAAGATTCTCAGATTCTTACTTGAAATAAAGCATGTTATTACTGAAATGGATTTTTATTTTATTTAGTGCCATGATTCTTATTCTTTTATTTTATGAAATAGTCACATGTGATTGGAACGTAGTGTCCAATATATTGAAAGCATGGAGATTCTCTCTCTCTGTAGGTTCCATTTGACCACAGACTGAAATTTCCCAGGGAGGGCATTTCTGTATTAAGACTTCTCAGTTGAGAGGCTAGAATCATCCAGCTTTTGAGATTCTACATGCCTAAGAAAGAGATCAGCTTACATACTATGAGACGAGATGTGGCCTCCGTTTCCTACATTACTATAGACATGCCCCGTAGATACCTGATATCTGAGACGGATGATTCATTCAGATGTAGCACCCTGTCACCAAACCCATCGGTGCAAACAGAAATAAAGTCAGTTGTTTGGTATTTTTATACACGACTAGATGAATGAATGACTAATTCATTTTTTTCAGCCAGCTTTTTTGGTGTCACATAATTGCAAGAATGAAAATTGACAGATTTTTAAAAATACGTCTTTTCAAAATCACATCTTGAGGAAAAAAGCTTGGCCAATTAAGAAGGTTGAAGGGGCTGTGAGAAACTGCAGGCACTTTTATTTCCAGCTATCAACAGAATGGAAAAAAAATTCAACTTATTTGTATTCATTTATTTATAAGGGTAATGAATAAGTTAAGGAACACTTCATCTCGAACACAGATTGCTTTTATTTTAGCTAAGCTAATGTTTCAGTTCCATATATATTTTAACATTTCCATCAATGTGAAACACCACTTTTTTCTTTCTTCTTTAAAAAAAAGATTTACAAGCACTTTTATGGCACTCAAGGAAAGTAGGCTGAAGGTTCATAATAATAATTTTCCTTTTAAAAAACATCCATCAGACCAAAATAAAATCAT